GCGGAGCCACTAAAGGCCTATTTTACACAGGTGATAAATAATATATATTCTATTACAAGGTTATTTTATATATTAATAATTTATTTTTAAAATATTAAAATTTATTTAATAAATAATTATGATAAATAAAAAATAAATTACTTAAGAAGTTAAATGAATTCTTAAAACTCCTCTTCTCAAAGAAAAGTTCCCAAAAAAAAAACTTACAAGATAGTGATTCATATTTTATATATAGGAATTTATTAACTCTTAAAAATACTTTTGCACAAGATAATAATTCACGTTTTATATATAGGAATTGATTTTAATTAATAAGAGTATTAATATGTGAATTTGGAATGATAGATTTAGTGATATGTGAATTTTTTTATATATACATATTCATTAATAATATTAAAGAGAGTGAACTATTTTTTTTTCTCTTCAAATTATAGAATTAAAAAAATTAATTTTAAATTTTGAGGAAAAAATTGAGAGATTAAAAGTATATTTAAGTAATTTTTTATATAAAAAAAAATTAGGAGAAAGGAGATGATGCCTAGTCTAATGGCTGGGCAAGTTTCTAAACTAACATTTATAAAAGACTTGTATTTAGTTATCGTAATAGCTTTAGAAATTGCTAATGTCATTAATTTAATTTTTTAATAAGTTCCTAAGACTCCTTAATTTATTTAGAATATTTTTAACTCACTACCCACATATAACAATATAGTCAAAGAGTGAAAATATACAACCTTACTACTTCAGTACTTCATGCTAGAATTATCCCAAATGAGGTTCCCATCAAAGTTTCCTAATACCTCATTCAAGTTTAAATAAAAATTCTAACTTATTTTTTTTATTAAAAATAATGATAAAACATAAAGATACTCTCAATATTGTTGAACAGAACGTCAATAATATACTAGAACTATTAATATATATTTACTTGGAGAATTATTACATTGACTTTACGCAAGAAATATCTAAGTGTCGTGGTTAACTTTGATTATTTTAATTAGTTTTAATTTTAGTCATCCATTTTAATAATAATCATACAAACAAGAAATATACCTTTGAAACTTGAAAAATGGGTCACTATAAGGCAACAAAAACGATCCCTAAATCAATTAGTGACTAAATTAGAAATCAAATATTTACTGTTATTTAGAACTATACACAAATAATTAAGATTACTTTAATCAATTTTAATCTTAATCATCAATTTTAATAATGATATATACGGTTTAAATTTGCATCTTTCATGCTGCCATCTATTGCATACGCTTCCTTCCATCAACAGCATATATATCTAAACTTTGAAAATGATTCCCAACTCAACCAACAAGTTTCTGATGAGGGCCTTGACTCGATCGATTCTTTGTGATTTCCTTAACTTTATTGGTAAGTTTTATATAAGGTGTCCATGAAACTTGTGGTACATTCTGACGATAGATTAAGCAACTTGCAATAGTTCATGCATCTTGCATAATTGGTTATAATACGAAGAAATCCCCACGTGGTAAGCATTATGAACAGTACGTACCCTAATGTTTATTAACTTTCCAGGATCAATAATCAAGCACGCAATTGACTTGCTATATATTTAGGATTTGTCTAGCTACGACCAAACGTAACATTCTTTCGGTAAACCTAACCCACTAGGATTGCTCCTACCTTAAACATTGAAGATCGTACTTTTTTACATGTGCAGGTGTAGCTAGGAATTGATAAACAGGTGTACGTGTGAATTAACACATGAGAAACATGCATCTGAATGTGTATGACGTCGATCTATTTTCATTTTGCCACTCAATTTCCATTTTTATTGGTTAGATCATGACGAGGTTTCAAAATCTAGTTTACATATATAGAGATATATAGATTGCAAATATCAAGCAAAAGTGATATTTCCTATAAAAATAAATGACATGAAAAGGGATAAAAGGATGGATTGCAACGGGAATATGCATGACTATCCACAGATAGGTTAAGTTATTTTTAAATAAATTTCTTATAGTGTTTAATAGAAGAAAGACTGAGGGCAATGAAAATAATTTTGTATTATTCTGGGATAAAATAAAATTTTAACTAGTGGATCTCTACATTCAATATAATATGGTATTTTGTTTTCATTTTTACATGAAGATTTGTATATTTAAGTTTGATGCACATATAAAAAGCGTTTACAAATTAATCTTCACCATTTATTAAAATTATAATGCTGTTAAGATTTTTTTTATAAGATTTAAAATGAAAATGAGTGTCTTATGCAAAGACTAATTTCTTCACCAAAAAAAATTAAGGACTAAATTGAGTTTTTTTTCTTTCTATAGATCTAATGAAACTGTATTTTTCTTCTTGTAAGGATTAAAACGAATATATCTATATATAATATATACCACATCTTTAGTGCCAAACTAATTAATTAAGGAATTTCTCTCCTTTGTTATTCTATCTATCAAAATTTCCTGGTTCAACCAAACTACTGAAAATCAACTTCGACAATCCATATAGAGTTACTGTTCATAATAGTGATAAGTCGTAATCAAGTCTTAACTTGAATTGGAAGATAAATGAAATGCATAGTATAAGTGAATTTTGATGACCACTTATCAAGGCATACAAAAACATGAATGCATTTGAAGTTCCGAAGATCATGTGCGTAAACCTATAAAATATATAGACTACGACTCTAATTGCATGCTGGTCAACGAAAATCACATGGCTCCACAAACTATAGTTGCCTTAAACAAGGAACCCTGAAACAAGGTTGTGTAGTATATATGCAGTTAGTACCTTTTTTTGTACGCCAACAAAATGATACACACAGGAATTTGGGAACACTACTTTCTGGATTATATACCTTGCGGAAGACAAAGTTTATCTAAGAACATAACATAACATGCGAGCCCTCTCAAATATCTTTATTGTTCGATCTGCTTTAGTTTACAAGAAACAATCTCTGGCAATGCTAGCTCATTTGCATCATTTCAAAAACATCAATCCAATCATTAACTTTCATGTTGTTGAATGTTATGTTATGGATGACAATAAATATTTTTAAAAGAAATTTTAATAACATTTTTCTAAGACACTCTTTATTATTATAAAGCGGACATTTTATATTGAGTGTGATTACATCCTACATAAAATTTGTATTTTTTTTAAATAT